AACTTCGTTATCAGTGAGAAGTGTGTACACAGGAACTACAGTACATTGTCGTAAGGTATGAGACTTGGGAGAATAATTCATAACGGGATGAACATGGATTGACTGTATCACGAATGGGTGAGCTCGCGGAAGGGGAACATCTAGGATAAGAAGTGGTCCGTGTCAGGGATTTTGAAATCTCCACGATGTACCTATTGGCGGTGTCGCCTTGTTAACTATTCAACTACCATTTTGCAGAAACTACCGCACTCCTACAAAGAATTGATGATAAAGGCAACAACTTGAAGTGGACGGTGATTTTCTGCGCATAAAGTAGACCTCTGTTCAGTATCCGAGCGCGCGTCCTCGCTCCTCTCAATACACGGCCTAACGGCCGATCTTTTATCCTGAACGGATACCAGCGGCTCTGTAATTAGTGTTTTCCTCTTCAAAACAGAACCACAAGAATTGGAACATATCTTTTGTTTTGCCCGCAACTAACTCACACGAGTTCAACGCCATTGGCGGGGAAATACTAGTCAACACCAAGTTCACTCGATGTTTTCGACACTACCACGTACGAATCCGGTGCACCAAAAAAGCTTAAATTCATTGAAAATCCGATTAATCAGCTGCTTGGATAGCAGGACATAGTACAATGATGCGATTTCGCCCTATTACACCGATTTCCGCTTTTCGTTATTTTCACTTCATAACACTCCTCATCCGACATTATCCAATGGCCGTTACGCCCTCGGCCAGCAATACTGGCACGTGATTATCTTATCTATCATTGGTGCTTAAATTATGATGGTGACTCATAATATCGGCCACACGTATATGAGGTCTTAATATAAAGGTGATCTTCTTATTGCAATAGTCAACATGTTTGGTTTTAAACGTTTGTTGGTAAGGGTCCTGAAAACTTCAGTTCATCCAGGTTCTCCCAAAAATCGCCCAATCAATCCCAAAATCGGGTGCCAATCTTTTGACAAATAGAGGCCTAATAAGCATAGTTCAGCAAGTAAATAAGTAGGCATATCTTTCTATTTTCAGCGCCGAGAGGTCCTATTTAGACATTTTGGCATAAAA